TTCTAGATAAATAATAAATAAACAAGATGTGGTGAACGCGATGGCATTTGGTGAATCGGGAAAGTTGCGGTTTGACGAAATTTCTGAATGAAATGAAACATTAACATTTTAGTTCAGAAGAGCTGAATGAGTTAAAAGGTATACTTCGCGTGAATACCACACTGACTTCAATTAAATTTTAGATCGAAGTTTTTCTACTCTCCAAAATGTTTAAAGGATATGCTATTAAAAAAAAGTAAACTTAATAGAGAGCTGTACGAGAAACTACAATGGTAGAGCAGTTTCATAGACAAAATTTTAGAATTGATTAAGTGCTGGATCATAATGAAAATGCCGATCAAAACTATTCATATTTATTTAACCGTAAATAACATTGTTTTTTAGGCGGTGATCACGAGATTGCAGACCAATCAAACTATAGTAACTTTAATAAGCCCGACGAAAACTAAACCTATGTAGGGGCATTAATAAAAAAATGTCAGAAATGAAGTTTTATTATATTTCTACCTACATTCTACATTTCCTACATTTTTTCCCCAAATTTCCGGGTCGTAATGGCCGGAATGCGTTGGGGTTAGCGTTAGCGTTAGGATTAGCAGGAACTACAGTAAATTTACATTTTTTGCTTAATGAACGACTATTGTTTCAATAGTAAAATTCTTAGTGATCATTGATCAATTCCGGCCCATCCGACCAGGTTTCCCTGTATGAGTTTATAAGGGCAGAAATCGGCTGATTTTAGAGGGGGAAGGGTTTGATTAGGTCATAATAAATTTGATTAATTTGATTGGATAATTTTTAATCAGATACAGTCAACCCTCTCTAAGCGCGCCCCTCTTGGGATCATAGGCAAAATTTTCAAAAATGTGCATTTAGAGAGGTGTGCATTTACAAAAGGCATTTTATTAAGATTGGGAATAAATATTAGCGTGCATTTAGAGAGTGTATACATATTCCGTGCATTTATAGGGGGTGCACTTAGGGAGGGTTGACTGTAGCCTCTTAGTAAATTGAAATCATCTGATTTCTGCCCATCCTAACCAGAGACCTGTTGCAAAAATTTGTTTAATTTGCAATAATAAATTAACTATATTAATTTGCGATTTTTTAATTTCCGGTTCAAATTTTTGTTCATCTTTCATGTTCATTCATTTTCTCTTTCAAAAATTTTCGAAATCTTACTATCCGACATTATTAGCCAATCGAATTTCTAGAATATCACGAATTTTACCCTCAGAAATTTGTTTCAATTTGAATAATCAATCTAAATTTGCATTAATTTGTATTAATTTATATACAAATTTTTATGGGTAACTTAGCCTAACTCTAACATAAAGTGACTAACCCCAAAGTTAATTCAATAAACATAAATGAGTCCCACCACCCTAGACGTCCCTATCATAATTTCATTTTTTATATATTTGTGCTCAATTGTTACGCTTATATTTGGCCTTCTAATTTTGGATGTCGGCTAAAGTGGAGTGAGCTTTGAATACCTGATTTAACGTTTGTTTTATTAACATTAGAATTATTATCACCTTGTTGGTGTAGGCAAAATTGTTTCTCCGTAATGCTCCAAAATTCATTCTCTACAATCTTTATTTATTAGGATTATTTAGGCACAGATACCTATTGATAGCCTTGTATAGTTGGAGGTCAATGGCGAGCCCGAGGCTAAAGAGGTCCTTGAACAGGAAGTGTGTAATATTTTTATAATCGTGTTGATAGCGTGTTTGATAAAATTAACCATTTTGTCTTTTTGATATTAAAAAAACGTGTTCAAGAGAGTCATAATAGCGTTGAACATACGATCAATCCACCACAACCTTCAATGATGCTCGACTGTTTTGCTGCTTGCGCGTTTCATTATGCATTCCTTACCAAAGGAACCAAGGAACGTGAGACAAGAGAAGAACGTTTAAATCATTCCTTTGATCTTTCAATTTGATTTTGAAAATGTACTTCTTCGAATAAAAAAAATTTTTTTCTTTATATGAACCAGTAACGAGTTCGACTCATATTCGATTTGATGACTATAGTGAGAGAAGGTTTAGTAGTGGTTCTTCACCTAATGACAAAAGAGCTAGTGGTTTTTATAGTAGCAGTAATAATTACAATATTGAATCTCTATATAGTGAGAGATTTTCGTATGAGCACGTCATCTACGTCATCTCGTATAACACATTATGATAGAAACGAATCATATATTCGTGATTACGATCGAGATTATGATCGAAATTATGATCGAGGTTATCATGATCGCGACGACCGTGACCGTGATCGTGGAGACGAACGTAAAACCTTTTAACAATCTCTTATAATTTCCCCGAAACATCATATACATGATATATACTGTATATGATATATGGATGGAAGGGTAACCCATTTTCTTTTTTATTAATATATTATTAATATATTGTATATTTTTATATAATAGGTCCACGCAGGCAAAAAAAAAGAATAGAGAAGGAGAAAGTAAAAGAAGATATTAATACTTGTTTCTTGAAACATGATCATTTCATAACGATAATCATTATGACACTGTCCGACGCGTAAGTTTTCTAATTTTGCAGAATTATCCGTTATACTATAAATTATCGCCAAGAAATATATAAAAGAAAGTATACGTATTAAAAAAAAAAGGTTATAATTTGATCCGTATTTGCCTTTTTTGTGTCATTTATAATGTGCCCATGATAATATTCTCATGATTATCTGCAAATTCTCATATTTAATAATTTGTGTTACATGTATGCTAATAAAAAATAAACTATTTTTCATGATTAACGTAAGAAAGATGATTGATGACTTTCTTTTGAATTTCATTGACAATGAGTCCGTGATAGAATTTGAATTATCATTATGGCGTTAGCTACAAATTTTTTGGGTTTAATTGAATTAAACTGTGCTACATTGTATGCTAGTAAAAAATAAAATGTTGCGTTCTTCGGGTCTTTTTATAGACACTGTCTGGCATTATATTTGGCATTATTTGCCTAATTACCTTAAACACATCCACAAGAGTTGTCTTTTTTTTCTATTATTTCTTTGACTCGCTTTATTCAAATTCAAAGTTTTCAACTTTTCTCGATTCCAAAGAATCATTATATATAATTCATTAGTACCTTTTACGTTTCATTAAAAATGATGTTTAAATACTCAGTTGCATATAGGCTTCGTATGCTTAGAAAAGAAAACCCATACAAACACGTGAATAAAATAGTAACAAGTTGTTTTCTTATCTCGGAGTTAGCTTATCTTATTACAGGAATGATAATGATATCGTTTGGTTCTTCATTTCTTATGACATATGGACGCAATATACGAAGTGTAGTCTTGTCAAAACCTTCACTTATAGGTATATATTTAAATATTTGTACCAATTTAGTTTTACTTGTTATTACCTAACAAAAAAATTTTTACTTTTTTTTTAGGTGGAATAATTATCGGAATTATAAGAGTATTAACATTTTTTGTCGGTACGATTGGCTTCTTTGCACCTTTTAAACGCTTCCACAATTGGTTGATAGCGCAATTTGTCTGTATAGCTATGACATCAATTGCTCTTTTGATTTTGGGTGCTAAAATTTGGTTTAAAACTCTTGACGAAAGGAATTTCTTTGAAAATGTATGGATAGGGTGGATGAACGGCACTAGAGCAAGATTCCAAGATCAGGTATGCATGCATATGTCTGATTTTCAGGTGACGTGCGCAACTTTGTGAATTGGTTATCTGAGATCAGAAGTGAATTCACCGCAACGTGCGAAGATAATCACGTGATTTAAGCACATGCAAATATTCGTAAGCTCCAATTTTTAAATAATTAAATCGCGAGTTAAATATGTTATTGAATAACTAAATGAACCATGGATCAAAGAATGTCTACAAATTATAAATTCAATTATTTTTTAAATAATTGATTGCCTTATTTACTCTCTTGAGTATTGGAAGAAATCTCAGATTATGATTAACATGTTACGCACGTCACCTGAAAAGAGGTGCGTCAAGAGCAATTCGACGCAAGAATGTATCTGAGACAAAACATATTTAGTTGTGTAAAAGCTTTTATTCTAACATTCTATGTATCTTTTTTACGTAGCTTAACTGCTGTGGGTGGGAATATCCATTGTCCTATGGGGTCGTATCAAGAGGATGCCTAGATCTCCAACAGGCTAATGCAACTATGTTTGGGGGTTGTGATAATCTGATAATAGGAGCAGGCGATAAAATCTCTCGTGAAATATTCACTTTGTTATTCGGATTTATAGCAATAGATATAATTACATTCCTTGCCATAAGTGTACTTATCCACGCAAGGAAAATAGTGGAACGATTTCGTAAGATTGAAGAGAAAAATTTAATGTTGCTTTTATAATCCTTCATTCATCATGATTTTACATGTCATTCGATAGATATTCCTCATGAAAGCTCATAAAGCTTGATAAAATATTTTAATAACATCCTAATAAATAAATATAAAATCTATATGTGATGGAAAAAAAATTCGATTACAATAAATTTTCCATCAAATAATCTTACTAATAATAAACACTCTAAAGACAGATATAAACACTTGCTAAAAAAATGAACTTTCTTTCATGATATGATAAATGCTTATACACTCAATCCCCAAACATTGACGATAACATACATACTATTTGTGTCATGCCTGTATGTGGTGCTGCCTACATATCGATATATATATATATATTAAATCTGGTTTAATAATGCGTATTCTATTTACATCACTCACCATCATGTTTACTATCCCAATGACAAGTAGTGGTAGCATGTATACCCGCGCCATTCTTTTCAAAAATAGTACAAGTCACTAAACGAAAAATAAGAGAAGTGTTAGTACGTATCTGATAAGCAAAATAATTTTATACAATCATTTAAAAAGTGAAATTGGTTACCAATATACTTCATTGATTTATTTAAGGCTGCTAATTTTTTTACTGTTTCTCCTACAATAGTGGCATTCCAATTTGATATTCTACTATGAAGGTACGCGGAGTCTTGTAATATTGTAGATTCCACTGTCTATTTTTATTTTAAAAATGTTAATTGTAAGCAAATAAAAGTGACCTATCAATGTCATATCAATGTACTTTAATATTTATACAAACCTCTTTCACAATACTCTTAACCTCATCTTCGTTGAAAACTTTCTTTGGGGATGAAAACTACGAATTCAATC